AGTTAATGACCAGACTCGTCGCGTGGTTGATCGTGATACCTTTGACCTTACAGACCTCAGCGTAAGAACCGTCTGGCTTGCGCACACGGTACGCGTAAAATTTCGGACCTCCCGAAACAAAAGACGTGATATAGCTACCAGCGCCGTACGACTCCAGCTCGTCCGTTAAATCGCCCAAAAGACTACCGTGGTATACGCAGCTATAACAACATTTGTGTATGCTGTGGGTATCAACGAGTCGTTCGTATTACTCGTACTGACGTAGAGCATCTCGTCATCTACGCGCAGAATACCTGTAATCTCGACCTCCGGACATGTAAGCAGACTCACGAGCTTTTGACGAGTCGTTACAATTTCCGTCTTTGGCATATTTTCGCGTTGCCCAAACTTGCCCTATAAGGAATTCAAACATAATTTTGCGACTGACCGCAGACCGTGATTTGATTTTATATTACCAGGGTCCAGACGAATACCGTCGACCCGATCGTACTCCTCTGTATACAACTTCTTGGCCTCGTCGTCGTCACCACACTCGCGCGGCCAGCCGCTAGCTTCCTGCTTAATCTTTAGGAACGTGTTTATGTAATCAGCAAAGTGACCACCCGTCCGTGTCGTCGGGTCGTACTGGGTAATCTCATACTGCCATATTTCATGTATCAACGTTATTTCATACCCCTTACGTACGGCGCGCTTGACCTCGTCCACGACCCAGGTCCCTTCGAATACCCTGTCCGCGGGATTCTAGTGAGGACACGACCACGAATACCCTGTCCGCGGGATTCTCGTGAGGACACGACCCCTGTAGCGTGGCCTCTGCACAGGAACGACACAATGCAAAGAGCAGTTTACCGTGCATACGCACCGGTAACACGGGATGATACAGATCTCGCGGTGGTAACACCACACACTTAATCAAGCCCTCCACGTTATCGATGTTGTGGCGATCACCCGTTAATTCGCGACAGTCATCGCCCACGTACACCGTAGGGTGCCCTACAGGGAATTTCCCCGTTTTCGAAATGAAGGGGTACAGCGAACACACATCTACGTAGTGTATCCTCTCAGACCCCTCGACTTCATAAAAACTGACAGTATTACCTGTACGGCCACCGAAGAAAGCATCGCGGGGTTCGAGCGGTGCCTGCGATACCAGCGGGTTCTCATTAAGCGATCTGTATAAAGCTGTTTGTTCAGGATCGTTTATCCAGCGGTCGAATTCACAGTCCCAAATTTCCGTCAGCTCGTAACA